GTTCCGGCTATCATCAGAGCATTGAGAGAGGTATGAACTCCTTGGCCAACAGGTGCCTAGAAATTGAGCGAGGATACATGGTACCCAAAAAAGAGCGGTTATTCGGTAGAGCTCGGCGATGAAGCGATCAAAATGGAGGAAAGAGAACTGAAGAGCAAACGTGAATCGATAAGTTAAATCGGCTAACTTGATCACCTCATTTCCGGTGCCTTCCCTGCTGAATTGCGTCCATTCGCTGTGGCAACCGACAGTATCATGTCAGTGTCAACAATAAGCAAACGGTGGCATTGAAAAATATAAGTGTGAATGCAGAGCGCGATAGTCTGCTGGACTTTATAACATAAAATGATTGATTGAATCTTTTTTCAAAACATCTTACGTTTCAACGGATACCAACAAGTCGATGAGTTGATACACGACAAAACAGGTAGTACAGTTCAGACGTTCTTGATTTCGTTTTCGCTGTTGGGCTTTGCCGGCTGCAACAGTAGCGTTATGCACTTCCTTGATTTTCTGCCGACAGACCAAAATGGTAGCAAAAGCGCAGTCCGCCTGCTAGCTGGTCTCATGAAGTGCTAGACTGAAGATTCTGAAGTTTTCTCCTCGGAGTTAACGAAGCATTATCACGCGGTAAGGTGGGATGTCAGTATTATTAATAACCGTCAACCGTTCAGAGGCATGGTTGGACAACGGTTTGACTCAAGATGTCTCATATCATCATCGGAAGGACGATATTTCCTGCTGATTTTGCAATATCATGTCTTTTTGGGTCAGCGATTCACTGCCCGAGAACCACAGTGCAGTAATTTCATTGCTTAATGGAATAAATGGCTAATAAGTAAGAAAATTAAGAACATTTCCGAATCCCATTTGTCCCTGGTGGTCTGGTCTCATTTTTCTTCGATCTAGCTTATAAAGACCTTCAGTTATGCTTGTACGATAGACGTTATTTTACCAAGAATTCACTTTCCTGTGATTGATTGATGTTAACCGTGGCTTTCCTACTTTCTTCTCAGGTATTTTTGCGATAGGGCTAATTTAGCATGCATCTCCTGGTCTACGAAGGCGTGAGTAAGAGTAAATGGTCATAAATTGGTCGATATTACCTTTTCCTCAAGAAGGGACAGACCTATAGAATCAGAAACTGTAGAACGATCAGCGAGTTACGTGGGAAAATAGGACAACTTTCGCTACAGGTTCTGATGTGAACTTGCAAGGAAAATGGACAAATGCTTCTCATGGGATTCATATTTTACTCGTGGCTGCCACATTCACAAAGGCTCTTCCGTTTTTGAAATAGGACATATTGCAGTTCTTCAACAAGGCTATACCATCAGTTCCTCCTGTACGCTGCGCTGGCATATTTTGATGACCTCAAAGGTAGTTTTCCTGGTTGAATGTGGCGCTTGCTATGGTTGCTAGCCAACCTTTGTAGATCTGATACGCAGGCCCTTCAAAACAGATAGACATGTAAATCGTAAGGACGAGTTCCGAGTGCTGTGAAACGGTTATAACATTCTCGCCGACTTGACAGAGATATACCGAAACCTTAGGAAAACAGAGCAAATTAACGATTGTCCGGTGTAAGACTGAAGCTTTCCGTCGGTGCCCAGTTTCTTTCCTCACTTGCCACGAAATCGACCCAAACATGGAAGTTCATCTACTCAAAAGGAACATCTCTGCAGGCCGATTGCGAGGAACAGAATCTACCTCTTGAAGTGCAAGACATTTAAACAGTAATATTTGGAGGAGTGACATTTTGATTAAACTTCTGTGTTTAATAGCATATTATTCTAAATTTGACATTGATACAAACTGCCTATAAAAAATTATAATATTAAAGAGACTAAATCAAAATTTGATCGAACGTACAAATTGAGACTGTTCTGCTTAAACAATATCGCTAAAAGGTTTTTCGGCTCAACGTCAATTAACCAGAAGGCAGATTAGATAACATAAATAAACAAACCCTGACGTTAGATGATAATGCCATTTTGGTTTATTGTATGGTAACCACGGGTAACAAAATGAAAATACACTGAATTTTAGATTGTCGTAGAATCTGATGTGATCGTTCTGACATAATCATGTACCTCTCGATGTAAACAATTTCGTTTCGGCTCAATAACAAACTTTTCTACTTATCAGTCCACAGGAAAGCCCAGAGTTTGGCACATTTTTGAAACTGTCCTGGGCTACAATCCGCTCATTATTTATTAACATATTCAAGCATACTCAGAAGCGTTGATTAATCATGGCCAAGTGTATTTGATATGATGCTTTCTGAAAAAAATCGTTTAATCATGCATTCTATCTCCGTGATACTTATGTGGGCAAATAATCATATCGCTGCAACAAAGAATAAAAGTTTGGATGTAGCAGCCAATCTCCGATCGCTTCCTAGAAGAGTCACAGTCTGCGAACCAGTGCGAGCGTAGGTTTACCTTCTGTTACAATATTAGCGATCGGGACATTCTGGCTTCAGATCCCAACGCATGCTGTGCACTCATCTGTTGCTCCTCATGTTCATCAAGAAATTGACCGTCCTCTCCTCATCGCTCACTTGAAATCCGCTTTCGAGCCTGTTGACCGGAGGGCGACTGGCCTTGCGTTGAAGAGACATGCTGTCAGGGGACGCTACTGACCTCGAAAAGGACTTATGCACAAACACAACCTTCAGGGTCTGAATTAGTAGGAGTGTTTCGCCAACATTCCAAACGAGGTCGCATCATTCACCCGGCTCATTCCAGCAGTACTGTAAGTAGTACCGTACTCTTCAATTCAGAATCAACAGACCTCCATATCTCCTTCCAGCGTTTCAAAGCGTGCGGCACATCGGTTTAGAGTTCGCGTTGCAAGCAAGAGGAAGAATGTACAAAAGCCGGCCTCTGCTGGTCCGGGCGAAGCCGCCATGACGACAGGCGAGAATACCAACTATGCAGTAATCGATTTCGTTCACCGATGTCGGCAACGATGGCTGATGTCTGATGTCTGAGGCAGAGTCGACCTCCTCTGACCAATCGCCCTCATCTCCTCCTGTGCAAATTATCTCCACTGCGATTGGATGCAGTGCCGTCTCAGAGCAGGCACCAAAATTAATCTTCATCAATCATACGTCATTCCAGTGTTGTTGTACAACGTCAAGAAGTGGAATCCGTTGAAATCTGTATCTCAACCCAGTGCATAGCCTCCATATGATGCACTGCCTAAAGCAACTCATCGACATTGGATGGTACGATTTAATTTACCGCAGTGATGTCGTATGATATTGATCATCCCATTATCGGCGACGTCATAGCACCTTGGCAACTCAGGCGCCTTGATCACGTTGCGAGATGGACCAGTGAGTCCTCACACATCGGTTCTTGACTGATGGTCTCCATCTTATAGCCACAGGTGTTCTGCGTTTCTACGAAATGGTCTGACCAATCGTCAGAGAAACATATTGACTCAGGAGGTAAGAGGCGAGCGCTACATTACTTCAAAGGATCTCTTCGCTCACGCTACGATTTGTGGTCCACCTATCTTCCCTTTCCTTCCGTTCATCCGGTTTCAGCTTTTTTGATTCTGTTGCGTAGAACAGACTGTAAATATCTTTTGATCATATGGTGGATTGCGACCGCTGGAAAGTCGACGATGTTCGTAGCGACTGCTAACAAAATCAACTGTTCAAACCTATGAGATCCAAGCTGACATCAATGACCAGAAATATATCATCAATCAAAACGGTGACGAGTGATGAATTGCAGTAAACAACTTGCTTCAAGGACTTCGCCTCAGTATGCAGTGAAAATTGAGGCAAAAATACCAATATTCGTGAACCTTTGCAAACCGAGGCTGAGGGAAAAGAATTAAAGTCACAGGATTGGAAACCTCACAAACCTGAACTGCTGGCTGAGAAAGCAAAACCCTGTAAACGAAAGTGGAGTCAGTAAGGAGCAAAGAACGCTAAGGTACGCAACGTCTTGTACATTACATTACGAAGAACCATCATCAGAATGGCAGGTCTTTCAGGACCAGTGCAGAAAACGATTGCAAGAGCATCAGGTAGCAGTAGCTGGTGCAGTACATGGGACATGCCATAAGAAGTAAAGATGACTGTTCACAGAAATGATGGAGCATCAACATGAGTAGCTTCATGGGCAACTTTATATATTTAGCCAAAAACGCTTAGTAAAAAAATTATTATTTAGTACTTATATTACTATTCAACGTTATCAACTTATATTACTAACATGTAGACATTTATGTCAAGAAGATGCAGAATATAGACTAGTTTTATAGAAACGTACGAGACTCGAAGAACTAGCTAACTTGTTGCGCAGTGGAATAAGAGAGACCACGTCTTCAGCAGGAAGGCCTTCGAGAATTGAGCTCGGGCCAGCTGTGTTGAGTGAGCCGTGACATTAT